CCACACGCCGCTCAGAAAAGCAACTGCTGGGCCATGTCTCTTTCACAACTGTGAATGTGGAGGGAAGGGGAGGAAGGTTTCAGGTGCTGCCCCTGCCCCCAACACGATCCCATTGGCTGGTTTCTGACCTGCAACCGGCCAATGGGAGCTGCCTGTTTGAATAACAGACAACACAAAAAGCAACACTTCCCCTTCCCCACTGGTTCATAGCTATTCACACTCGCATGTGGTCCCGCAGCCTGTGCAGGGGTGGGGCAGGCCGCCTGACCAAAAAATGTGCTGGACTGGTGGTCAGGAGTCACTCAGGTAAGTCTCCTGGCCAAAGCCTGCCTCTGGCACCCCAGCGCCTTCCTTCCCCAACCCTTTGCCCCTTCCTGCATCCATTTATGCAAGAGCTCTCAGTGATTAGAAACCCGCAGCCTTTCACTCAACTACTTCTCTGAATTAAAGTTACTTTAAATCAGTGTTTCTCAACCTTTTCTTTTATAAAGCACCCCCTTTAAAAAATTTTAAGTACTCCAGTACCTACAATTTTCAGACACACAATTTTTTTTTTCTACTATTGCAACACATTTGTTTAAACAACTTAATCATATCTAGGCAGGCAATGAAATTTTTGGGTGTTAAAAAGTACAAAAATAATAAAGCGCTGTAAAACTTAAAACAAAAATTCAGTTTTCTCCAAATTTCAGTTGTGTTGATTTACCCCCCAGACTTCTCTCAAATACCCCTAAGGTACTTGTACCACTGGTTGAGAAACACTGCTTTAAATCAGCTAATGTGTTGGCCAGTCCAGTGCCCCAGGTCACAACTCCCTCCTTCAGCCAAACTCCCTCCCAGACCCAACTCTTTCTCCTGCACCCCAACCCCTTATCCCAAGCTCCCTTCTGAGTTAGGGATGTAAGCAACTAGTTGACTATCCGATAATGCTTATCATATAGTTGAGTAATGACTCAGTTGCTGCCTCTATCAGAAAGAGGCAGCAAATGGGGGGCAGGAGCCAGGGGGGCAGAGCAGGAGCCTGTTCTGGGGGGAACTGGTAAAGCTGGGTCCCCCCAGCACCGTCGCCGCAGGGGAGTCAGAGGCAAAGCGGGAAACAGCACGAGAGGGGATTGCTTCAGTCCCTGCTCACGCGGGTTCCCAGTGTGGGTGCTTCTGCTTTTGAAATGTACAAGAGCTCTGTGGGGGCTCTTGTAAATTTCAAAAGCAGAAGTGCTGCGGGGAGCAGGGGCTGAGCAGGGACTCAACTGGGGTTGAGCAGGGACCCCGTGCTCTCTGCAGCGCCCCCTTGCTATCTCTATGAAAGGCAGCAAGGGGGAGACAGGAGCTGGTTCTGGGGGGAGCTGGCTTAAAAGATGGTTCCCCCCAGCTCTGTCTCTAGGATTCTGCCATCCCCCCTCCCCCCCCGGGCTGCCTCTATCAGAGGCATCAGGGAGGATAGGGGACGCTCCTGCAAAGCAGCCCCTATCCGCAGGGGTCCCAGCTCCCCACTGGGACACCCATCCCCACAAACGGGCTGTTGCCACCAAGCAGAGCCTCAGCTTGAGTCGGATCCTGGAGCTGCCCCTGCTGCGGCTCTGCAGAGGTGCTTCTTGACTAATTGTCTAGTCGATACAAATTGTGTCGACCATACGATTAGCCAGATAATCACATTTTAGCATCCTTATTCTACACCCAATTTCCATCCCAGACCCTATACCTCCTCCATTAATATCATGGAAGAGTGCGGCCCTTGATCACTTTCCAAAATCTTGGAGTGGCCTGCCGTCAAAAATTATTGCCCACCCTGGTACAATCATTACCTGCCCTGGCATGCGTTAGCATCTCTTCTGTAAGGAGATGGAGGTGCTACATCCATCCATCCATCCATCAGCAAGATCTTTCTGCATATACCTGTTTTTCTACATATACAAGGAGGTCTGTAGTCCTACAACTGTGCAGAGTTTTTCATAGATCAGTGTCATTGGCATTAGTGTTATGCTTTCATATAAACTATGCATGTATATATATTTGGCATGGGACGTGCAGTTTTCCCTTAATATGTCTTCTAGCAAAATATTACCCAACCCCAAATCTGCTTAGCTTAGGAGATGTGATAAGATCACACCCACAGATGATATGGATATTGTAGGGTTGTATATGCAGTGTGTTTGTTTTTGTACCATATATTTTTGTATGTTCAGTACATGTGCAAATACATTAGTTGCGCTGCATCCTTGCACAAACAGCCTATTTGCATGCGCTCTGCGTGTTTATGTATCGTATGCACATATGTCTGTGTGTGAGTTTATCTGCAGCCTGAGTGTAGACAATACACGTGTTTGCAAACGCAGCATGTGAATATGGCATTCTCAGCTGTGGTCGCACATTTGTATGCATGTGTGCGCGACCTCCTCCCCCCAAGGAGCATAAACACACAGCTGGGTAGATGAATTCCCACTGGCTGTGCCAGTGCTCTGCTGGAACAGGCATGAGGCTTTGCGTTCCTGGCCATTCTGCCACACCATCAGGGCAAACCTGCACAGCAGTGGCTGCTCTCTGATGAGAACCAATTCCTCCTGTCTGCCTTCTGGCCTGAGCCTCAGAGATGCTGAACACAGTCAGCGCCTGTTGCCATCAATGCGAGTTGAAGCTGCCTAGCCCATCCAGCCCGTGCACACAGAGGGGTCTCAGGACACAATGAATTGGCTGAGGCAAAGAAGACATTAGTGCACAAGTGACATATCTCAATATAATTTCTAAAACTCTATGAATTGAACAGATAAAATACTTCTGATCTATTTTTGTTACAAAATATGAGCCATTTGGATTCTTTGCTAGGTGTGACCACACCGCTGTTCCCAAAGGAAGCTGCTCAGAAGGATATTTACAGCAGGAAACAGGTACAGACAGACAGGTGCTCTCAAAAGCCTACACATAGGTAACATGTTGTGTTTTTAAAAAGAAACATTCAGATGGGAATGTGCCACGTGGCGCAGGAGCGAGACCCGGACACCGTAAAAGCTGCTGTCCCCGGCGCTGCTGTTCTAGAAGCAGTCAGGAGAAAATGAGCTGGAGCCTTTAGCGCATTACAGCTGATGCCAAGAAACACTTCTGGCAGCCCTAGGCTCCTGTCCTCAACATGGGCAGCCAGAGCAACGGGTGTAGCATAAGCTAACTCGGCAACGAAGTCAGATTTGCATTCTCCATTCCCCAGCAGAGATTTTCCCAAGCAACAGCTCAGCGCCCCCAGGGCTGGATTTTGTTTTAGAAGCCCCACAAACATATAACAATAATTCCAGGTTGTGCCTTCTAAAAATACTCAAGTATTATAGACCAACAACCCCTAAACACTGCAGAACATGGTACAGGTTTTGCATTAGGGGATTTTGAGTCCATTAGCCTCCACTTTACAATCAAATGCATATAGGGTAACAATAGATGCTGTGGAATTCCTTCTGGGAGTTATGAAAATCCACATGAAAAAGCACTGCAGTATTGTACTGTCATGGCCCAAATACAGCAGTAATTCTCTTGTATCTGTTGGACTTGATTCTCCCTCCCACCCATACCAGTGTTGCCCTGGGGTAACCACCAAAGTCACTGGAGTGCCTGCTAGTTTACACAGGTGTAAGAATCAGGGCCAGAGAAACATCTTCAGGGTTGATGGCAAGCGACAGTGCTTTTTCCTGTTTTGCCCCTTTGTGTGCTGGTCCATTGCTGTACAATACTGGAGCTTGGTTGTTTAATAAGCAATGATCTGAATGCAGCAGCAAGTCATCACTTCAATTTGGCTTATCTAATGTCTGCAGCAGGCTCCCGCCTGAGCTCACAATCCAAAATCTCCTGCCAGTCTCTCTGTCAGAAAAAACACCGCGTGGGGGGTTGGTGATTTTCTTTGGGCCACGTTTCTCACAGCACGGGGTGGATTGTTTCTTGCTTTTCACCAGGCCTTGCACTAAAATGTTTGTTCAAGCTCTGTCTAGTGGTATCCTGCTGGTGAGCGAGTTATGTGCCGTGGTATCTACTAGCAGAAATAGAAGTATACTGTACTGAGTGTGCGTGCGTGTGTGTCCATCTGTGGGTGGGGCACAGCAGGCGACATGCCACGTATACACATTTTAAAGTGCTTGTAACTCTCTTAGACAACCCCAAGGGAAAATCAGCAAGGGGCTCTGGTCACACTCCAAGAGGGCTCAGCTACACGGTGGATTTTAAAGCAACCCTCTCTACGCCCGGAACATTCTAGAATAAATAAAATCATCCTGCCCAGTTAACCTGTCTGGAAACAAGCTGCATGTGCAGCAGGGCAGAGGCTGACAAGGACGGATGGGCTGGGATTGCTACATTTGCTTCCCTGACCAAATCTCCATGCCAGAAGCAGTCTTTGGGAGGTCAGGGACACCTTTCACCGCATGTGTTAGTAAATCCTAGCACTCCTGTTAGCTTGCTCCTGGAGTCTGTCACGTGAAGGCTTTAAATCAGTATTTGAAGTTTCTGTAACTCTGCCAGAGATTATGGGCCTATTGCGGGGGGGTGAGGGGCAGTGTTCCCTCTAAATTGGAGTGGCAGCACAGCTTCAGAGGTGATTAATCAGCCCTGTCCAATCAGTGGCTCAGGGCTCCATGCATGGAGCCGACTGACTGGGCTGATAATTGCCTGTGAAGCTGTGTTACTGTCCAGCTTAGCGGGAACACTGGTGGGTGCTGAGGTTCCGTGGCCTGTGATGTGCAGGTCACACTAGATGAGTGTGCTGGTCCCTTCAGAACAGCGCCTATGAACTAAGGAGTCTGTTTTCCAGTGTTAAGAGGGAAGAGTGGTGAGGACATTCAGGAAAGCTTCCTGCTCTTTATGTTGTCTTAACTTCACCAAGCAATTATTAATAATGCAAATCTCTCTTCCAGGAACTTCACTTTGCTCTAAATAATTTATCTAAAATAATTATTTCATCAAATACTTTAAGGTGTTTTGTTGTTACTTTGTGTTAAATGTCAAGTAAAATCTAATTTATTTATTTAAACACACACACACACACACACACACAAATCTTCACTGGCTTAATGAATTGTGGTTAAAATCAGCGTTCCTTCAAGGCTGAGGGAATAAGCCAGGAGAAGAACAGAAATGCAAAGGTGCTAAGACACTATCATCTCCACACCAGCAGCGAGGAAACATAAAATGCCATCATCTGCTAGCTGGCAGTGTGATGGCAAATTCCACCTGTAGGATGTTCCTGTAAGCTACAGCCTGGTCAAATGAGAGCCTGCCTTGAGTGACCTTGGATGGTCTCATCCAATCCTCACTGCAAAGCCAGCTGGCATGGGAGCCAGTCTGCATTTCAGGGCTCACTGGGGGAGGAAGAGTAGCTGAAAGTCAGGCCGGGTAACAGAACACAAGTTGTTGCTAGGTGCTGAATTTGAGGGAGGGGGCCTGTCTATGGGTCTGATGCCCCATAAGGCCCGGAACACCCTCAACTCTTATTGGCTGCAGGGAGAGTTCACACTGCACAGGAGCAGCCCTTCTACCTGGTCCCCCTAAGAGTAATGGGGGCAGTTTTTCAGGGGTGAAAGCTTCCAAATCCTGAGCCCTTCCCAGCTTCCAGGCCTCTGTCTCGCCCCCACCCTGGAACAGCTCATTGTAAGTATCTTCTGTGTGTTGCCTGCGGGGTCGCTTTAATGTGTATTTGGCATGAAGTATAAAAGCTGAGGCATTCTGTCCTGCTTCGGATAGAAAAGCGAAGCCAAGAAATCAGCAGCTGCGTGTGTGTACACCAGGCAGTCACTGAGGGGGGGCATGTGTGTTCCAAATAGGGAGAGGGGGCAGAGCATCATGTACTGCTGGGATTATTTCCAGGCATTTTGCCAAATCTAGGCACTGCCTTGGGTGCCCCAGCCAAATACAGCGTGTCTCCCCCGCAACCCTGCCTGGGAGTCAGGCTGACACTAGCTAGTGTGTGGTCTTCATGACCATGATTCGGGAACTGTTTTATCAGCATCTCATTCACACACTGGCTAATCACAAGCCCTTCAAGCTGTGTCCTAGAAGAGCCCAGACAGGAAAGACAGCCTGACAGGCAGGATCAGATGGAGCACAGCTTTTGCTTCTACAGGTAGCCTCACTGAAGTCAAGGGGATAAGGCCCACTGAGGTAAAAGCCCTCCTGTCGCTAACTGGCATTACCTTGCCCAATGAATTAAGCATCCTCCACTATAATCCCCCACCTCCAGGTGCCCAATAGTAAAACTGCTGTGTCACCAGCCAACACCCGGCTCTCGTGTCTCAGCCGCACATGGAGAGGAAAAATCATCTCATGCTTTTTAAAAAAAATCTAAAATAAGGACCTAAAACTTGTTCTGCCCTATTTTCAAATTCTAAAGTCGCTCTGCTTAAGCCTCACAGGGAGATAGAGTGAGACACCAAAGCCTTTAAGCTAATTAATACCTGCTCCTCCCCACTGCAGGCAGATTTTTTTGCTAAAAATACAACCATAGCCTATATTAATGCTGGCTTTCTGCTCATCGGTGTTGCTGATAAGCAAGAGGAGCTGAGCTGGCATCTCCTCCAGTCATGCTAAAAGTTGGCTTGGAGGAGAAGGGCTGGGGGCCCAGTGGCGGCATGTGCAAGGAATGGGAGAGTGAGGATGGGACCAAATTCCCAACAGGGATAAACATACTCTGGGGCAACAGAGTATCCAGTCATGGTTCCCGGAGGCCGTCAGCCCCCTGTGGGCAACACTGAATGAAAAAGACTAAGTGAGAGGATTTCCCATCCCCCGAGGTGAACTTAATATTTGGCTTTTTACTCAAGAGTACAAATTCTAGTGAGTAGGAAACAGAAAATCATCTGGAAGAGGACATGGGCATGGTTGAGGAGGGGGAGTTCATCAGGTGTAGGAACATATTCTTTTGTGCCAGAAAAGATATTTGTGTGTTTGTGTGTGTGTGTCCACACACGTGTGTGTGTCAGGGAGCCAGACAGCACTAGCTCTTTGAGAAAGCAGCCCAGGAAGATTTTTTTTGTGTGTGTGTAGTTTTTTTTGGGGGAGGGGGGTTCTAAATCTCACCCTTCTGCTGCTCCAGAACAGATTGGTGTTTCCTTCCCTAAGCATGCGCCGCACATGCTTTACCCCTAGGTATATTTACATGTGATGAGCTCTGTTGGGTCTCAGCAAAGCTTTCTTGGTATAGCGTGTCCCAATTAAACAATAGCCAGAGTTGTGGTGTTCAAAGTGAGGTCATCGTTGGGTTCTACCACAGCTTGGGACACGCTCCCTCTTCCTGCTTGCGCTCTCTTGGACTCGGCTGCCATGAGAGGAGAAGATACCAAAAGCTGGTGTGGCGGAAGCATGTGATGAGTCTCACAAGTTCTCAGCTCTGGCTTAGCAGGCAGCAGTGGTGACAGCAGCGCTTCCCCCTCTCCACCCATGATCTAGGCAAACTGGATGCTGTGAATGGCGAGCCTGTTTCCGTCAGCGCCCAGTGAAGTTTCAGGTGATAACATCTGTGGCAGGGGACAGGCGAGGGGCAGGAAGAGTGGGAAGGAGAAAGAGGGGCAGAAACAGCAAACTGAAGAGACAGAGCAAACAAAGCACAGACCCATTGAGCTCGCTGGGAACAGGGTGGCAAAACGCTCTGGTGGGGTCCATGGGGGAGGCATGAGTAGGAGAGCGCGGCTGGGCAGGAGGCGCATGTGGAAGCGTGAGCTCCAGGGTGGGCAGATTCTATAAAGGGCTCTTCACAATTAGCATCATCTCAGGGAAGCTGGGGAGCAATTAGGTCTGTTCAGGTTTGTTTTTTCTTCTCTTTTACTAAAAAATAAATCCCAAACTAGATCTCTTTGTAGGCAGAAAGGGTGGTGGGGGAAATCTGTGCTGTTTGGTGGTGCTGGTGGTGTGGCTACACTAGGCTGCGGGAGCCACTGGAGTACCTACGCCTCTGAAGCAGGGAGCTGGGGGGGCAGTACTGATGGGGGTGGTTGTAGGGTGGTGGTGGAGGAGGAAGTGGGGGCTGATGGATGATTTTCACTGGGGTCCCGCCGCCTGCACTGCGCAAAGGGGTGGAGCTGCAGGAATCGGAGGAGACGTAGCGGGTCAGAGTCTGGTTGAGGGCCGGCTCCATACGAGCGAGACACGGCTTGTCCAAGACAATGACTTTGACAATCTGCTGGCACTGTACAAGTGTCCCTGCCGAGGCGGGATAGGAGGGTACCAATGCTGTCTCCAGCCTCTCCCGTGGCATGTTAGGACGCGTGCTGGCCTGCGTTCCACTCTCGGGCCCCAGGACGGAGTTGTGCTGGTACGTTTGAAGCCTGTTGTGAATTGACACCTAGTTTAGAAACAGTCAAAGAAGCATTAAATGTTACAAGACTTTTTCCCGTCTGCTACTACTGACTGCCCTGAGCCCCACAACCTCTCATTCGCACCAGCCCTAACCCACCCAAAGCCCAGTCCTCAGCCACAGCTTCCTCTCCCCCCAACACCAGTTATCTTCCCTCCCACCCCCCAGCTAGAGCTAAGGGCTCCCCTTGTTGCCATCCCATTAAAGACAAGGCCAGCCTTTCCAAATGCAAGGTGAACCTTGATTATCCAAAGCCCTTGGGGCGCGCGAATGAGTTCGGAGGGTGGAGGCGTCTGAGAATTCTCATTGCAATGAATTGACCTGGGAGGCTGTGCCCTGGCTCTAGGCAGCAGGGTGGGTAGTTGCGGTGAGCAGGGTTTCAGATAATCAAGGTTGCACCGTTCTGCAAAACGACACCGGGCAGAGGCTCGGCGCAAGACTCAAGCCCGTCCCAGCGCCCCATCTCCCTGAGCAGGAAAGTGCACATGACTCGCTAAGCTGTTTACAAAGGGGGTTAAAAAAGCAGAAATCTGACATATGCCAGCAAACTGCAGCTCCCGCTGATCCGTTTGATGGTTTGTAAGTGAAAGGAAATGAGTTAAAAAAAATTACCCATCTAGCTGGTACAATGATAAAAGAAAGTCATGATGAAATGGCAGCAGATTAGGTAATCTCAGAGAAAATGGAGATGCTCTTCTGCTGAGGCAAATTACTGGGCCATTGGAAGGACGAGGGGAGAGGAAGAGAGGCTTCTGGGGTCTCAATGGACCTGATGAGAGTCCCCCATGTATGGGCATCCCCCGGATTCCAGAGTGAAAATGGTGAGGGTGCTCCAATATAATGGTTCTCACCCTGCACACAGGGGTTGGCAGGGCAACAGGCCAGATCCCAGAAGTGATTGGCTGCAGGGCACTGAAGCATGTGGGGGTCTCCAGGAAGAACTAGATGATGGCAGAGCTCTCCCCGCCCAGTGGTGTCTGCCAGGTGGTGGAGACCCCCTGTGGGGGACTGGCTGGCAACAGGGAGGAAGACAGGGCTCTCGCTGGGGGACTGGGTGGTGGGAAGGACACAAGACTCCCTCAGGGGGACTGTGTGATAACGCAGCTCCCCTACCAATGGATGCTTGCAGGTAGTGATGCTCCCCTGGGGAGAATGGTGGCAGCCGGGTTCCCCTGGGACACTGACGAGCTGTAGGAAATGCCTCCAGAACTGGGTCATTCTGGGAGGATAGAATTCTGACTTGGCGAAAAGTGTCTGCAGCGTGCGGGGGGTTCTCACGAGCGCAAGGAATGGGAAGCTGCAAGGTAACAGAGCTTCCCTCAGCACCTTGAGGTGATGGAACCTCCCCTAGGAAGGAATCGGCTGCAAGGCCTGAAGTGCTAGCAGCACCCAAACTCACTGAGGCAATGCTCTGCAAGGAAGCATGGTTCCGAGCCCCATTTCCTGAGGGAGGTGCTATCTGCAGAGAAATGCAGCTTCTTCTTCCCTCAATGAGGACTGAGCACTGCAGGGGGATTGAGCGCACTATGGGAAGAGGCATCTGCTGGGAGATAGAGCTGCTCTGGTAGCCAAAGCTCAGGATAGGTAAGACACATTGGAGAGATTTCCTAGGTAATACAGCTATGCTGGGAGAACAGGCATCTGGGAGGCAACGAGACTCTGCATAGGACAGCATATCCAGTCAGAACTGGTGGTCCCTGCGGAAATACGTGCAAACAGGACAATGGAGCTCCCTGCATAAAATGGTGAGTCTTTGGGGGCAAGGTTTGCAAGAAAGGTTACTGCGGGTAAATTTGCATCAGTGGCTGAATGGTGTTAGCAATGTCAGTGGCCTGTCAAGGCAAGTTTTTATCTAGGTTCTCAGTTTTCCCTTTAAGTAGCAGCGCGGGTTAGTCTATGGCGTTTGGGAGTTTGGTCCATGAGGGATGTTGCAGTTATAAAAACGGATTGAAAATGCTTTGAAGTTTAGGTTGGATTTGAAAGTTGTATTACCCGTCCTAGCAGTAACTTTTAATTGTATCTCTGGAAATTGGTAAAATTGTCAGTCTGGCTGGGGAGGCATTGATTAAAACCTGAGAAAAGAAACAACAGAGAATGTGAGAAGAGCTGAAGTGAGAGAGAATTACTTACCTCAGCTGCTCTGCATTCTACTTACCTCCACTGTGCTATCTGAGGCCTTCTCCCCCAACTCCTTCTTGCCTTTGAAATAAGACAGACTGATCAGCGAGGAAACCCACACCTCATGGCATCAAAGGAGCACAGCAGGGGGGCTGACAGAATTGCCAGGCCCCTGGGCAAGGTGTGTGGCGGGTGCTGTGCTCCCAGAAAGGGCAGGGCCTCAGGCTCCAGAGCCAGGGTCAGGGTCAGCCGTGTCTCAGCACTACTCAGACTGCACTGCACCTTCCCCACCCCAGCTCTTAGCGCTGCACAGACCTGTGTGTCTCCAGCAGCAATTTAAAGAGCCCAGGGTTCTGGGCACTGCCACTGCCACAGTAGCAATGACAGCGGTGGCCAGGAGCTCTGGGCCCTTTTAAATTGCCACCAGGCCCAGGAGAAGTTGCCCCCCTTTCAGTGGGCCTGCCATACAGCATGAGGACTGAGAATGGGTGAGGGGCTATCGAGCCTCTGGGTTCAATTGATGGCAGCAGATAGTTGTCATGCGATAACCACGTGGTGGGGTAGATTAAATGAGCGGCTGATCCCAGCTCACTCTCTTGTGGACGAGCACCCAAACCACCACGGTGTCTGGCCTTCATGGGCAGCTGTGGCAGAGAAGCCAGGCCAGGAATGAACATACAGCCTGTGCTACTTAGCGGTGGTAGGACGGAGAGAGAAGAGCTTGTAGTGCCACTGTCCATTTTGGGGATTAACAGAGGACTTTGGGCTATCGCCTTTTCCCATCAATGGGTTCTCTGTGGCCATTTGCAGTCAGCGTGGCTTTCAGAGGGGCCTCTTAGGGACCTGCCGAGCACTTATGCTCAACTCACTTCCACTGTTTGCTGAGGGCCCAACCCTTACGCACAGGGCCGAGCACTCGCTCCCACTGAAGTCAATGGGAACACTTGTGTGAGGGTCTGAGTAACAGCAGCACAGTCAGCCGCCCCGCCCTCACCAGGACAGCGACCTCTAACCTGTCGGCGATGCTTGCTTGGACTGTGGTTCCATCTGAGCCCCGTTGGTCTTTAATGTAAGAGTCTTTGCCCCTTGCTGCTTCTCCAACTCCCCTGAGAGCCAGAAGGACAAAAGTGAATGGAGAGAGACAGGGACAAGAGCGAAGGTGAGGCAGAAGCAGAAGAGAAAATCAGCCAGAAGAACAGATGTGCTCACAAGAAGGGCGCGGGGCGGGCGGGGGGGGGGGGACGGC